CACTAGAGGATACATTTTGGTAGTACTGTGTTTTAGATGCCTTACTCATGTAGAAAACTTCATAATTTACAAAATTCTTGCATCATTTCAAGCTACTGTAACAGAAGACCATAAACTAGATGGCTTAAACAATACACATTTAGTTTATTTCTCCCAATTCTGAAAACTTGGAAGTCCATGCTCAAGGTGCCAGCAGACCTTATGTCTGGTGAAAGCCTGCTTCCTGGCTTTTAGACTGTCACCTTCTCATGTGTCTGCACACTCTTATAACCTAACTATCTCTCAAAGGCCCCACGTCCAGATATCATCACATAAGCCTTCAACATCTGAATTTGGGGGTAATGCAATATTCAGTCTATAGCAACCTATGTCACTGAATAAATTATAGCAAATGCTATTATTACTATTATTATGGTATATGCACACAAAGAGATATATTAATATTAGATATTATTTAATGCTTTAAAATGTGAACTGGAAGCTTGCTGTCTCTTCTATGTAGAAGAGTCTAAACCACTATCTTGCCTAGAGTCGTTTGTTTATTCCTATCATTGGTCAAGCAGATACTCTACACAAGACTAGAGAGCAGTGCATGAGACCCACAGGGTCCTGCTCTCTTAGCCAGTGTATTCAGGTGAGAAAAATAGAGGCAATTATGTTAAACTCTATATTGGCAAAATACTACCATACAATGTGATGACTTTGAACCTTAGTTCACACACTAAAGTGTGTAAGAAATATTATGTAAGTTTATTTTTTAATAAACGCATTTAATTTCTATCTTGAGCTCCCCATCCCCACAGAATAGGAGAAAAGAATGAACCTCAGTCATGTGGGGAGTTTTCTGCCATCCCTTGCAGGCTCAAGTTAGGGTTCCCAGGGGCCGTGAATTGTCAGCCCATTGCAGGGGCCCCAAGGGTTCATCCATTCATATAAGTCACACTGAAACACTCATTGTCTTGTTACTTTGCATTAATTTTGATTTCTAAAAATATTGAAATAAAATAAGACTTATCTTGATGATAGTATTTTTGGTGTCCTCCTTATGTTTTACTCTCCAGGCAGGTGCCTCCCCCTAGCCTGACACTGTGAGCCAACACAAAGGCCCTCTGGCTTTGTGATGGTACTCTGTCAGGCTCACCAAGAATCTGATCAGAGAGCCTCAACTGAGGTAAATTTCTGAGTGTTGCTATTTATTTCACAAGCAGATTTTATTTCCTTCCAAAGAATCAGTATAATATGTAATTTTTCTCAAATAAGTGATAATAACTTATAAAATTACTCCTCCTGAGAAAGTGTTTTCTAATTTTTGGTTTACTTAATTGAATATCTGGAGCCAAACTGTCCAGGTTCAGGAAGAATCAATCTGTGCCCTGAGGAAGTAGGCTCTGCCCACCCTCTGGGTCCTCCCTAGATGGTGGTTCTGTCTCCAACTGCAGAGGGCAATGTTCATACTTTTCTGACCTTAGGGAATTGAGGCCAGGAAGTAGCATAGAGCCAAAATCAGTTAGCTATGAATGACAATTTATTTTCGCTCCTAATAAACTGCTAACTCCCCAATTAACTTCTTTATCCAGGAAATGCTTCCCCCCCAATGAAGTTAACTGCCTTTTTTTACAGAAGTAAAAATGTTGGAATGCATCGCTACACTGCCTGACACTCAAGGTCAGTGTTACTTGAAGTTTACGATTTAAAAGGCTCATGGGGTTGAAAAATCATTCAAAAAGCATTTAGCCCATCAAGAGTGTTCAAGCCCAAGTGGTCACTGCATTCTAATTACTCTGGCAACTGCTTTGCAAATAAATAGTTTTAAAACAGAAAATAAACAAACAAACAAAAAAGAGAGAGAATGGACAACAGTTCCTGCCAAATAGATGAAACTAAAGAAGTTATATGTTTAAGGTAAGGTATTTTAAATACTGTTTCCTTTAAACAATAATCTTAAAGAGGCAAGTTCCTTAAATGAAATATCTCTTTTTCCACTAAGCGACTTAGAAAAAGCATTCATAAAACCATAAATTCCCTTTGAGTGATATAAATGCCTACAACAGCAACAGCATGTAACTATACAAATAAAATTAGCTTCAGAAACAGAAGAAATAGAGGATTTTCAAGTACAGAGAGATTAGGTAATCATTCAAGACACTGTGATCTGATATATAGATACATGTCTTTTAAATTATTCCTTGCCTTGTCCAAGAAAGGATTTAAAATAACCTAAAAGGATTCAGAAAATCTAACCTCATAATATAAATCAAAGTAAGAGTCAAAAAGAGAAAGAAAGCAGACATAAAATAGAGGCAGAAAATAAAAGCTAAAAATAGGCCTTCAGAATAATTAATTGTGAGCACAATCATATTTAACATGTGCTGGCTTCACTACTGGCAGAAATATTAAAAGAGACTACTGAAAGTAAGATTTAGAAAGACCCTTGAGGATATGTATCTATTACTAAATCCTCATAACATAGAAAGGGTGCACAGGAGATCCACCTGGGTTGAGGTTGTCCTTCTAGCCCTACATCCTTTCTACCTGTGCTGCTTCAATGTCAGACCTTGTCTCTCCTTTTACCTCTGAGTGAATCCTCGATGGATAACCCATGAGGAGGGACAAGAGAGTGGGGATTTATAGGCATTAACTGATTAATAATCAATTAATCAACAAATAAGTCAAAACACTGTTCACCAGTCACTGCACTGGTCATCAGTGTGATATTCAAAGTAATACAAAAGAGTATCTAAAAGATGTGAGGATAGTAAAACCAACACTTTGCTGTGGTTTCTTATCTCATCGAATAGGCAAAATTTCTAAATCCTTATGGATCTATTGATGACTTTCAAATGCTGTTAACTTTTTCTTGTATAATTTTAGAAAGAAAATAAAATGCTCTGTCTAGCATTAAAACTTTTTTATTACAACCCACATATTCTTGGCACATTTAGTAAGACACTTGTAAGACATTTCAGTAAGATAAGGGACAAGAATGCAGATGTTATCATAATTTCCTCAAGCACAATGCCGGGCCCCATCTGAAAGGAAAGTGATGAAAAAATATTTTGAAATGTTTTTTACTGTTTCCTTTTAATATATATTCCAAATTGTGGAAGACCATGTATGATCTTGTAGGTTTATACAAGCAGCAATCACGCACTAAAATTAGTCCACTGTTGCCATAGTGATCATGAACCATTCTACCCACAAATATCATTCACTTAAAAACTAAAGATCCTGCCCTGGCTGGTGTGGCTCAGTGGATTGAGTGTGAGCTGTGAACCAAAGCATCGCAGGTTCAGTTCCCAGTCAGGGCACATGCCTGGGTTGCAGGCCATGGCCCCCAGCAACCACACATTGATGTTTCTCTCTCTCTTTCTCCCTCCCTTCTGTCTCTAAAAATAAATAAATAAAAATCTTTAAAAAGGAATATAAAAAATTTTAAAAAACCAAAAAAACTAAAGATCCCAAGTGACACTAAGTTGAGAAAAATGTAACATCAGGTGGGATGAAAAGAAAGTTGCAAAGTCTAAAGCATAACAAAGCACCTGGACAAGAAGCAGGTGCCTCAGCTCACTTCACCTCAAGACACAAGCAGGGTGGCATACCCACAGGAATACAGTCTTAGAAATTAGATAACTTCCAAAGCTGAAAAATATATATGTTACTTGAAAAAAGAGATGTACTTGTAGGAAAGTGAAGAAACAACAAAGACATCCTGGCAAAATAATAAAGTTAATCTTCCATAGAATAGACATGCTTAATTAAATGGGATTACTTCAGAAAGTGTGACATATTGAATATGGTTAATTGTTGTGAGATATTGATTTAAATACAAAACTAACTCCAAAAAGAGAAGCAAGTATTACCATTCATGTGGCCACTTGGGACCATGAGAAGAACATGGGAACAATGTGCCCTGTAGGTGTATAGGGTACTGGCCCTCACTCTTTAGCACATCTCCTTGAAGACATGATGTTGGTGCCTTGCTGTCATACTGATATCACATGACTCCCACTCCCTTGGTCAATGAAGAGTGCTTGTGACCGAGGCCGAAAATGTACATTATCAGATGGCAACTTCACCTTGTTATAAAGCCATCATCTCTTCTTGCTTTGCCCTTAGAGAAGTTCTATCAACATTTGCACTTTCTATTACCTCTCAGGATGATGCCTGCCTAACAGAATATGTGACATTTCCCTCAGGCGTTCTACTGGTGTAGTTTACCTTTTATCTCTTAATGGCTGGTTGTCCACATCAACTCTGATATTTCTAAGTAAAAAATAGTACTGTTAGCTTACATTTTTGAGCACTTACTGTGTGCCACACACTGGTCCAAGTACTGATCATTATTAACTAATTAATTCAATTAGTCTTCACAATAATTCTGTTGGATAGGTAACATAATATGCCCATTTTACATCTGTGGAAAAAGAGAAAGTGAGTAGTTAAGCCATTTCCCCAAGCTTATACCTCAACTACAGCAGGTATTCAATTCCAGCCAGTCTGGCTCTAGAGCCAAGCCTACAAACACTAGCCAACACAGCCTACCTAGCATATTCAAGTCCACATGTACACTGAAAGGCGATCAGCAATATGCCCCAGGAGATGCCATATTTTGAAGAGTGTTCCTGACTTTTGGAGTGTCAGTTTTATGCAGTTTTGACTATCTTCAGTGATGTGCATGCATGCACACACAACACACACAAACAACACATGCAAACACAGGCACACATGTGCACAAATGCACACACTTTGACTCATGACTGGAATTTAACAGAGCATTCATATCAGCTTGAGGAGACCATTAAGACCATTAAAGGTTTGAGTCTAGAGGCCAAGATAAACTCAGTTTGGGACAAAGTGTGCCACAAATCTTAGCATCAAGAAGACCAGTAAGCTAGCAATAGGCAGTTTACTCCCTAATACCTTTAGTTGAATCACTTTTTTAATGTAAATTTATGTTTTATTACAAGAAAGTCATTTGGAAAACCCTACTTATATAAGCTGGGAATGTAGCTCAGTGATAGAGCACATGCTTCGCATGTATGAGGTCCTGGGTTCAATCCCCAGCATCTCTAGGTACTTTTGTTTCCTTAGAGCACTAATACATGGGCTGAACTTTGTAGGAGCAATGAGACTTGAACAGCTTTGGGGTGTTCTTTTTTCATTTTTAACAGATGACCCATCCTAACCCCAGAAAAGTCTCTGGCTTTAGATCAGAGTTGCCAGGATTTGAGCTTCATGCCCCAGAAAAATAAAAGTAGGCCCCAGTAACCATGTGTGTGTATATGTACATGAAAGTACCATTAAAACAGTGTATCTAACTACACAGCTAAATGTACTGGGTTTCAGACATACCAGGTTCATAGAAATCACAGGTTCATACAGAAAAAAATAAATTTTCAACAAGAAATATAAAACATGTAGGAGGAAAATTAAGTTCTTGACAGAAAAGTGATACATTTTCTCCTTACAATTGTTGGAAATAAACAACTTCCCATCTGATATAGCCCTCTCTCTACCATTATAGAAATACCTTCAATTTCTCTTTTTTGTTAAAGTTGTTGACATGCTTAAAAGTAAACAAAGTATTTACCATCCACAAAATATCTTATCTCCTTGGCTTTGTATACAGAGTTAAAGAAAGGAAGGAAACACAAGGTGTTACTTATCCTCAACTTTATTATTAATTTATAAAAAATTAAAGTGTTCAAAAGGCAACCAAGCAATATTGTGTAAAATGTAGTCTTTGGTTTTGAATATAATGTTTAAAATTCATGTGAAATAGAAAGTAACTTCACCAACCTGTGCCTCAGTTTCCTATATTTGGAGTAAAAGTCTTGGATTTGATAATGTCAGAGGTTTCTCGGCACTGTGATTCTCTCCCTGGATATTAACTTGACCTTTCTTGTGAGAAAGAAAGGCCATGGGGTTTGGAGTTCAAGACCTGGCTGAGAATTCTGACTCTTCTGCTTAGCAGCTTTATTACTCTGAGTACATAAGCCTTAAATTCTTGCTCTAGAAATTAGAGATAATAAGGTAAACCATTTATTGTAGCTGTGGGAAGCAGTTTGGAAGATAGTAAAACATCTATCCCAATGCCAGGCCAATGGTTCTCACACAGCAGAAATAAAACAAAATAGTGTATTAAGTAGTGAACATTTGAAAACAAGTTTTTCAGAGAAATGGGGAAAGCAGAAGGAAGCCCTTTGAGATGGTGCAGGACAGGAAAGGAAGAGGGCAGGAGCACCACAGAGTAGAAAAGCAGCAACTGAGCCTCCATTTGAATAAGCCCACTTCAGATTGCACTGATATTATTTATTTCTAAGAAGTTGGAAGAGCGAAGAATTTGAATATCATATTCAATATGACTCAAAGATTTGGTAACAATAAATATATAAAGCTGTTCTAGAAAATCTGGAAACTCCCGAACCATGAGCCACTGCTGTATATCAAGATATTTGGTACATGGTTCTCTAGACCTCGGTTTTTCAGAGGGTGGTCTTCAGAAGGCCTGATGCAGAAGCATCTGGAGTATTGGTCAAATGTACAGAATCCCAGGCTGCACCCAGATCTCAGGACTCAGGATTTCTAGGGTGGGCACAGGACTGTGCATTTTAAATCAATTTCCTAATTTTAATGTTGTATGCACTCCAGTTTGAGAACCACTGGTCTAAACTGTAAAACAGGATTTATAAACCCCAATTGCCAACCAAATATTTCCAATAGGCCTTGTTGCCTTCACTGGCCTCTGTCCCCTTAAGTACAGGAATAATCAGGGATTTCCACTAAATATGTTTCTAAGTGTCCAATGTCACAAAAGCTTTCTGTCCCTGGAATTTTTTGTCTACAAGCTTGACCAAAAGAATCTGAACTGTTTCCAAACATTAAAAGCTTAGATTTCCCTGTTTTTCACTTTAACAAATGTGGGCAAATAGAAATAAATTCTGCATGGAATATCCAGAAATGCTAAATAATAGAAAATGCTATTTAGAAATTCATTCTAAATACATGATAATTAGAGATTTCTACAACTCTGTTGACCTCCACAGATAGTGTTGGTTTTACAGATAACCACACATGGAATTTTTGTTGGAAACCCAGAGACACTCATAGATCACAGCCCACATTTCTGTCTCTGTCCTCAGGACAGAAAGTAAATGTTGCACAGCAGGCAGCAGAGGAAGCAGCTAGGTCCCCAGGGGGTGGTGAGTAATCTTAGTCTGAGGAGAGGCTGACAGCAACCACTTGAAAGGGCTTATCTAAATTTATGAGCCTTCACTCTTTGCCTGTTCTCTGAATGGTAATTCTAACAGATGTGTCCCGGAAAAGACATGTAGCTATGGAGCTCCCTGGATAGGGGATATGCAAAGGTCAGAGTATTTATGGCAGAAAAAAATAGCCCATGTGATAAAGCCAACTTAAATATCATACGTTGTCCTTCAGCATTCTTTCTCTTTTGCCAGATGCAAACTACTAGAATTTGGATAGAGGTGCAATCTTACCTGGTTTCTTGTTCTAAGACCCAGTTAATATTTTTTTAACCTCCAAAAGGTCTTTGGGGACTTATTCAAAGGTATATCTATCAAGCATTTGCCCCACTGAGTGAATGAGGAGATCATTCTAGAAGAACCACAGAAAGAAGTTTGCAAAAATTTAAAATATCATATTTTGCTGTGCATAGTGCACAATTTTTTGGCCACATATTTTAGGGAAAAATAAGGATGCACATTATACTTGGGTAGTACCTGAAATACTTTATCTTCTGTTCTTGTGTTTTATAATTACTTATTACATAAAATTTCTTATACCACAATATATTAAAAAATAAATGCTAAAATCTCTTTATAATACAAAAGAACAAGTATCTAAATATAAATAAATAAATAAATAAATAATTGAATTAAAAATTAAAACAAAAGTTTTATTCCTGAAAGTTTGGGCCAAAAACATGGGTATGCATTATACACTGCAAAATACGGTGTGTGGGCTTAAAAAATAAGGTACCACAGAGCACAGATAATAGCTGATTATGCAAAACTACCCATGTGAGAAGTTGATATTTCTCTCTTACTCAGGTTCACATACAGTCTTCTTATATGTAGAAGGACATGAACTAGTCACAATTTCTACTATATTTCACATCTTATCAGTATAATTCCTTCTCTTAGTTTTAAGATGAAAAACATGCCTATAGTCACCAAGTCATTTCAAGTTCATAAATCCCAAAACGCCAAATAAATGTTTCTTAGTGAACTAAGTTCTGATGAAAAATATATTATTAGTAGTTATCATTGTGATCATTTTAAGCCTATTCTAAAGACTGAAATCCTCTCTCATTTACTTAATGTCATACTTTATCCTAATTTTATAGAAGAAAAATAAGGAAAGCATTCATTTTCATGTGTAGAGAAGTGACTCAAATCAATTATCAATAATCCAAGTAATGGGCTATATGTAGCGACTTGGAAAACTCAAAATAGCATAGATTTCTTTTTAATTTATGCACTTTTGTGTTTCATTGGGGTTAATTACTTTAAATCACTGCATATAACACATAAACATGATAAAACTATTTAAACTACACTTTAAATCCCTCAGTGGCTGGTGGTTAGTTAGTGGAACAACATGAAAAGGAAATAAAATTTTCTCAACTTTGAAGAACTACATTGAAAATTTTGTATTGCATTATTAAAAAACGAACATGCAGAGCTGACTATTGCAAACTGTGGAAAGACTGCCTATTAAATGACAACCCAACAGTTATTTAGCAAATACTTTGGCACCATTTTCAGAATATTAGCAAAAAGAAAAAAATGTATGAGCATAAATTTTTTTGTAAAAATTTTATTCAAAACTTACTTTCGAAAAGTAAATTTTTTGTAAATTAGGAAAATAATACTAATACACTTTATTTAGATGGAATAGGACATCACAGCCCACACAATAAGACTCAGCCAGTGGCAGACCAAGTGCTGTGGTCTTCTTGACTCAGAGTAATTGCTGCTTGGCTACAAGCATGGAGCTGGCAGTCCCCAGGCAGGGATTCACCACAATGCTTAAGACTCTGGGTCTGGTGCTGGAGTGGTTGCATTCTTATGATGCCAGGAACATTTTGCTTCTCAACCAAGATATTCCCATAAGAACATCAAATGACTGTAGAGAAGTTAAGTATTCCAGTATTCACTATTTCACTATTTATATCTGTGTCATGACTATGCTTTCTTATCCAAGCTTTATACTCCTGGTAATAAAAATAAATCAAGGGAATAGCTTTCACTGCAATTGCAGTCAGAAATGTTATGTCTGCAAGCCATTAAACATTGCTTAAGTTTGGGGGTATTGCTGAAAGCTTTTGGGAGGTTGAAGGGAGGATTGCAAAGTTTTTACTTTAGTTCTTCAAATCATGACGAGGTGTCAATGTGCTTCTCTCCCCATAACAGGCTTTATTTGTCCTTGCACCCATTTCACTCTGCTTGAACCATTCATTTCAGACTTCTTATTGCAATGTGTTTTCACTCTTGGATGGTAAAATGTGTAACAAGAGAATCACATACCAGAAGGCACAAATTCCCAAGATGCCACAGCAAAATCCATGGCCATTTTCTGCTCTCCCTCTTCACCCCCACAATGGGTGAGATGTGCAGTTGTTACTCACCACAGGACAGTAAGGAAAACTGCTTTCTACCAAGCTGGCCAACCCTGAATGGACATGAAAGAAATACAGGCAAGTCCTTCAAGACAGCAGTGTGGGCAGGACTTCTTGTGCTTCTGAAGGGAAAAGCTGCCACTGCTAAGTGCCTCCTGGGAGAGCTAGCCAAGGTTTGTCCAAAATCAAGTCACAAAGACCTACAATGAGATTTCCTTCCGATTTACTGGATTAGGCTAAAGTTTACTTCATTCTCAAATGCCACTCATTGCCTCTGAGTTGAGCACAAGCATGCAACTCAATCCTATAACACAAAACCAAGAGCTCTTTAAAGCAGGAGGGAAGGAAGGGATAGTAAGAGATTATTTATCTCCTTCAGAAAACTTAGGAAGGAAGATGGCTGATCACCCTCATCACCTCCAACAGAAG